ACATACATACATACATACATACATACATACATACATACATACATACATACATACATACGTGAATTCAAGGCTGACCTGGTCTGAGAGACAAGGGGGTTGAGTGGAGTTGGGGAGTTGGTTGTAGAGAAAGACACTTGATACTGATTGGCCAATGGTTTCCACAGGTGCATATAAATGCACACATACGTATAACACACACAATTGATAAGTACGATTGAGAAAAAATTCTAAATAAGATTCATATTTTGTGACCTGAAATTCAAGTGTCAATTCCATAACTAAAGGGATTTGGGAAAGCAGTAAATGTCACCTATGGTCCACGCTGCTTTGGGGCAAGAATGGCACAACTAACCACAGAAACCACCAGTTCCACAGAGCAGGAAATACTGTCTCCTCCTTCACAGAAAAGGTTTGCCAAGCTCTTCCTTCACAAATCGTGCCCTTTCTTAAGGATGGATGCTGAGACATGACTACCTCCATTTGCGCCCTAACAGGACCACTTACTGATTAACTCTATGTGAACCACTCAACCACTCTAAAGCTGGCTTCTCTCCTCCATAAAAAAACAGGTTCGCTTCTACTATTCAGTACCCGCATTCCAGACTCGGTGCAAGCTATAAAGTGGGGGGCTCATTTGAAATTTCTAAACTAGTGCCTGGCATGCAGGAAGCTTTGAGGACCTCTTGCTTCTCACTAAGAGATATAAAATGTGTTATCAAAACATCAGGTTTCCACCTAGCCCATGACAGAAATAAAGCATTCTATCACAAGAAGAAATAAAAGGGGGGAAAATAAAAGATATTTGGAAGAGAAAAGAAAGGAAAAGTCTTTAAGAGACTAGTTCTACCAAAAGAGTAGGTGGCCGATTTGAAAGAGAAGTGTGAATGAGGGTGCTTGGGCCTTTTAACAGATCAAATGACCTCTGTGGACTCACTGAACACTAATCAGCTCGGTGGAAGCACCGTCTCCATGGGGGGAAATGCTTTCTAAATTCCAAGCAAGTGGCTTACAAATGAGCGGGGGTCAAGCCCCTTTTTAAGCTGCGGACTTCCTGTATTTGACATTCCTACACAAATGACTTGTGACCGCTGTAGTAATTTCACCGTCTTATTATCCATGTGTAGTTGCTCACTAAGAGGAGACAGTTGGACGAGGGCCTGTCTTCAGGCTGCTGGTCGCCAGAGTCTCAGGAGGTCAGTGACGATGTTCCCTGTCCCTGAGTTCACATCGTATTCAGCACTCCCTAACAGCAAGGGAAAAAAAGTTCCCATAGATAGAAAGCAACCTCATTCACCAAAAATGGGCCCACATGGCAACTGTGAGACATCCTGTACTGTACAGAGTGGAAACATTCAACTGAGGAATTACCTCCTCACTCTCCTGTGCAAAGCTACACCCTACCTCTTCCATTATCCTAAAGAATGTGTGCATGTCTCCCATTTTAAATTATTGTTTCACCCCCCCATTCACCCCCCAAAAAAAACTGTTATTAAGTTCTTTTATTATTTTTATTTTATTGTGTTATTGGGGATTTTGCATGCATGCACGCCTGTTTAATGTGCATGCCTAGCATCTGCAGAGGCTAGAAAAAGGCAGCAGATCCCCTGGAACTAGAGTTACAGACAGTTGTGAGCCAACATGTAGGTGCGAGAGTTAAGCCAATAAGTCCTCTGGAAGAGCAGCCTGTGCTCTTAACTGAGGAGCCATCTCTCCAGACCCCAGAAAAGAATTTTTAAATTTACAGCTCCACAATCAAACCAGTATGTTTACTATTCCCTTCCAGCCCTGATCCCTATAATCCTAGCCCCACTGTGGTTTACACTAAGGTAAAGTCATTCATCAAATAAGTATCTTTAAGAGACTTGATACATGAGTCTGACATGGAAACTCTTGAGAAGGAAGAAGGATATTATTGTCCGAGAGATCTCTGCAAATGGGCCGAGAGCAGTTCAGAGCAGCATGTTCAAGAGTGGCTAATATGCATCTAGGCTAGAAGCAAGGTGAAAACACTCACTGAGAACGTATCTGCTGGGGGAGTCCCACTGATGGCTTCGGCTTAAGGGTCAAGGTCATCTGGGCCACTGGACTGACCCTTGGTAATGTGTCTGCCTTCTTGCTTGAAGTACGCTTTGCTGCTTGCTCAGGAGCGACCCAAGAGGACCCAGGATTCTGTCCTCCGAAGACTGGTGACACAGTGTCCTGGGCGGCTGTGACCTCGCAGGCTTTGCCCTTTGTCCCTGGCTTACACACACAGAGCTGAGGCCGGAGACACATCCCTTCATTCTGGCATGGCGGAACACAGCTTGCTGCAGGAGACAAGAGAAGACGTGGTTTTGAAGAAAAGCACAGCAGACTTCACTATTTCCTCCAAAGGGTAAACAGTGATACTGGATGTTCCCCCAAGGAAAGCATGATGACTATGGTGATGGTGATAGCTAATACCTATCAGTGGCCACCTATGTGATAGGTACTTTTCATATATATATATACATGTATATGTATGCTATCATCTATACGTGCATTCACATATATGATGGTTGATATATATGTTCACTCATATATATATGAAAAGTACCTGTCACACAGATATCTTTATATATCATATATACGTGAGTGAACATCTCTATCGTATACATGTTGATATAATCCCTGGAAACAGTTTTAGTACATATTTTATTATGCCCATTCCATTGGTAAATGCAAAGTTTAAGTGGCTGAACAAAGATCAAACAAATCATTAGGAAATAGAAGAGTTGGCATTTGAATCCAAGTGAGCCGGTGTCAAAAGCATCATTCTTAAACATTGTATTGTAACTGTCTTCCCAAAAATACAAGACAGGTTTTTAAAAAAGCACCTTAAAGTCTCCTGTGTTGGTTTGAATGAAAATGGTCCTCATAAGCCCATAGAGAGCGGCACTATTAGGAGGTGTGGCCTTATTGGAGTAGAGGTGGTGCGTCACTGCAGGTGAGCTTGGAGGTGTCAGATGTTTTAAACCAGGCCCAGTGTCACTCTCTCTTCCTGCAGCCTGCCGATCCGATGTACAGCTCTCAGCTACCTCTCCAGCACCATGTCTGCCTGCATGCCACCATGCTTCCCACCATGATGATAATGGACTAAGCCTCCAAACTGTAAGCCAGACCCAACTAAGTGTTTGCCTTTGTTAGAGTTGCCGTGGTCATGGTACCTCCTCACGGCAGTAAAAACCCTAGCTAAGACATATCCTGGCATTGCTTTTAAGTTATACTCTGTGGCTTGAATTTAGAGTAAGTGTGTGTGTGTGTGTGTGTGTGTGTGTGTGTGTCCATACACGTATGGTCCACACACATATGTATAGGTATATTTTCGTGTGTGCACATGTGTGTTATAAAAGCATTGTATGCCTATGAAGAACAGAGAGTAACACTGGTATATCTTTCTCAATTGTTTTTTGATAGTATCTTCACTGAGCCTAGAAGCTATCGTCTTTACTAGCAACATCTAAAGACTCCCGACTCTACCCTTCTTTGTGGGAACTGGGATGGTATCACAGAAGCCCATGACCTTATCACGGGCTGGACAGCCAAACTCGGGGCTTCATGTTTACACAGAAGATGCCTTAGCCACTGAGACATCTCCCCTGGCCTTTACATTTAATATTAAAATTTTAAAATATTTAAGTACTTTTGCCAGGACTTAACCACAAACAATCTCTAACCCCTAGAAAAGACTTCTTCCACACATTCATGGGCTGCCTGTCAAAACTTTTCAGAGACTTAACTATCTGGTCCAGCTCACTGTTTTTGCCTAGAAAAAATGATGGCAATAAGGTGGCTGACCAGCAGTACAAGGTGGTACAAACAGGCAGTGAGCACTATGCCACTGAGACGTACCCAACAAGGATCAAGTTCCTCATCCTCTGTCTTCCAGGATATCTAAACTCTGAATCACCAGACCCCAGGTTTGTGGCCAGGCAGAGTTCTAAAGCTAGCTGGGCCATGGTCAGTGTTGGTGGATCTGAACATGGGTGAGGGATCCTGGGAGTTTTGAGGTCACTGACTTGAACTGCATTATGTAACGCCACAGGTTGCTGGCAGGTTCCAGCCAGACCCTTCTGTATTTGTCGTAAATCTTTTATCTGCTGCCCCTTTGCTGATAGTCAGCTTCAGACTTACACTCTTCGTCCTGAGAACACGCTACCAAATTTCCTAGCCAGTGCTGATTCAGTTCAGTCCACTGAACAGTTCCAAAAGAGAAGAGAGACATTATGTCTTAGGGTTACTATTGCTACAGTGAAACACCATTACCAAGAGCAAGTTGGGCAGGATTTACTTGGTTTACACTTCCCCATCACTGTCCATCACTGAGGGAAGTCAGGACAGGAACTCACACGGGGCAGAAATCTGGAGGCAGGAACTGATGCAGAAGCCATGGAAGGATGCTGCTTACTGGCTTGCTCCTCATGGTTTGCTCAGCCTGCTTTCTTATATAACCCAGGACCACCAGCCCAGGGATGGCACCACCCACAACGGGCTGGACCTTCTCCCAACAAACACTAATAAAGAAAATGCCCTACTGCTTGCAACCCAACCTTCCAGAGGCATTTTCTCTACTGAGGTTCTGTGTTCTGAGATGACTCTAGTTTGAGTCAAGATGACATAAAACTAGCCAGCACACATGAACCACAGGAGACTTGGTTATGAAGAACCAAATGTCCAACATCTAACAGCCTTGAAATCTATTAGTTTTCCTTAGGAAAAAAATGCTTTTCTCATCATACTAAGATATAACTACTATTAGTTATAACAAATAAGAAATGGCCCTTGAGTATCAGAATACCAGGCATCATTTTTCAACACAGCTGAGGAGAAAAAAAAAATTAAAGATGGAATTAGCTTTGTAGATGACATGACTTACATCAGTTAACCTTGGTCGGGTGCCAATGAGTATTTCAGGACAGTGGGATTGCTATAGCTTCTAGCTCTAAAATGGTCCCCAGGAGCCATTCCTTTATTAGGCTTCTAGAATTCAAATTCAAAAGCCAGGCACTTCTTGAGTTACTCAGGAGGCCAACTTGTCAATATCTCACTGACTGAGCTGAGATGCTGGGCTCCAAGCTCTTCCCCGGCCACTATTTAGGGAATGTCACAGGGCTGAATGGGCTCCACCCAAGTGAGCAGAAGCAGACAGGAGTGAGTACTGGACCAGGCTTTTCACCAGGTGCATCTGCCAGAGATCAGCCCCCAGGCACTTTCATGTATGCATTCTCTTCATGCTTTCAATTAGGAACATGTTTCAGTCTAACATCTGAGAATGATTTCCGCTCCTCTTTCCTCCCAAGGTGTCCTGCAAATAGCTACTAATCTCTCAGGCAGGCTGCATGACATAGCTTGCAGGAGCTGGTACCCAGGGCAAGGCCAAGGACAGAAATCACCCAATGCTGCACTTACAGTGACACAGGAAACTGTCTTTAGGAAAACATAAATGGATTAGAATGTAAAATGGAAGTAATTTGTTTTTCAATTTTTATATGTAATAAAAAAACAAAGAGAAGGTAATTTTAAAACACACACACACACAAATTAAAACTTTAGGCTAGGGAGATGACTCATTTGCTAAAGTACCTGATATGCAAGTGTAAGGACCTGAATTCAGATCCTTACTACCCATATTAAAATATCAGACATGGTGTTATAATCTCAGTATTGGTGAGGTAGAAATGGGAGGATTTCCTAGGTCTTACTGGCCAGCTAGCCTTGTCAAACTGGTAAGCTCCAGATTCCACAGGAGACGATCTCAAAACAATAAGTTGGGGTGCAACAGAGGACTACACTCAACTTTGACTTCTAGCCTTGAATACATCTACACACACATACACAAAGAAAACAATAAAATTTCAAAAATAATTCCAATTAGAAGAAAAAGAATATTCCATATATTACAATAAGTATCTCCAAAACTGTCCTTCTGCAGTAAATTTTTGAAAAAGAAGAAAATATTTCAGTTGTCCAACCAAGGCTGGGACAGGAGTCCATTGGAGAATGCAGCAGGGGTTATCTTGAACTGGGGCAGCAGGGACAGATGTCCCTAATGCCCAATACAGGCCCCAAGCCCCTCATTTGACAGGACAATGCCAAACTCGTGCCCTCCGATCACACTTCATTGTGCTTTTTTTTCCTTCACCATTTGCACAGTGCTACTCATATTTCAGGGGAAAGAGTGGTTGTCAAATTCTGGTGCCCAGGACAGAAGTATCCATGTTACGAGAATGCCTTCCCTGCCGAGACGTGAGCCACCCATGTCTACCCACTCCTAACATTGTCCAAACCACAAACAAAAGGACGATTACACAGAAGTTCAACCCGGGACACCAATGAGTTCACTGTATTTACTTAGAGCACGGTGAGAAGTTGTTCACAGGACCCTGCATGACTCCGAGGGCCTCTGTCTTCACCCGGCCTGGATGATGGCTTCTTCATTAACCCCTCCCAGCCTATGTGCTCTAGCACCCCCAGAGATGCCAAGAGCACATGCAATTAGAATTGCACGCAAATGAATGAGAGGGGTGGCCAGACCCTGGGATAAGGGGACCCTCCTTACCTCCTCTTCTATGAGGGAACATCGAGAAACCAGACCAGGATGGTCTCTAAGGAACAACCATATTTTGCTTGGAGGACAGCACTATACAATGCACAGAAACATTCCTGGAGAACTCTCTGGAAATACACAACCCTGGGCTGCCGGGGACTGCACCTATGAACCTGGAGCCTGACCTCCGGGGACTAAGATGACTGGTTCACGCCTCCCATGTGGGAAACACGGGCACACGGCATTTGGAAATTCTAAGCCACCAGGAAGGTTTTGAGGACTCCTGTGTACTCTCTGTGTAAGTCTGTGTGTGGTATACATGTGTCTGTGGTCCTGGGTGTGCCAGTGTGCTCACCTGTATGTGTGTGTGTGTGTGTATGTGTGTGTGTGTGTGTGTGTGTGTGTGTGTGTGTGTAAGCCAGAGGGTGACTTCACTTCTTTCGCCTCTCCTGACCTTATATTTGAGATGGAGTCTCTCACTGAAGCTGCAGCTCACTGTTTCCACCGAACTGGCTGGCCAGCAAGCCCCAGAGATCTGCCTTTCTCTGCATTTCCCTGAAGTACAGGACTGCAAACAAACCACTGCACCCGAATCTTACATAAGTTTGGGGGGAGTCTGACCTTAGCGCCATATGCGTTGTACCCACTGAGTCATCTACCCAACCCCCGGCTCTCTAGTCCTCAAACTGAAAGTTTGTTAGTTTCATATCATAACTGCTTTTGTACTATTGAATTCTTTAG